CTTATGCTCCCAATACTCCTGTTAGTCTTAAAGGTGCCACAGGACCCTCTGTTGCTTTTTTCAGATTAATGAAGAAGTAATTATGTTACATATACAAATTAATTTTTTTTTAAATTAACTGATCACTTTCAAATCAAATATGGTCAAGCCACTGTCCTAAGAAGCAAAAAGTGTGTAACTATTTTATGTGTTATTTTGTTTTGCTATACTTTTTCCTCAATGTATAATATTTCTTGAGAGTTCAATTTCGCTAATCATTGCATTTCATTTTATGCCTTTCATTTATGTCAAATCCTGTTATCATTCAAATGAGTAGTCTCACCAAAATTAATGGGACTACTCATAGAAAATAAAGTGATCAGATTTGGGTCCCAAATTATGTTAATATACTATTGTTGTTTTGCAGATCGCCCACTCCTAAAAAACAAACAACACGTGGAAAAACTCCAAGAACCCCTTTTAGGTATTTTGTACAAATATTCAAAAATTTATCATCCAGAAGATCCACAGCATTTTGCACGCCTCATAGGGAGGCTTACCGAACTCAGGACCCTCAATCACAACCATTCAGAAGTGCTAGTAACTTGGAGGACAAAAGACCCCAAACTGACCTCTTTACTCTGTGAAATTTGGGATTTGCATTGAACTAACCTATATTACTGTTGTTATACAAATGGCTGATTTTCCTTAAACTTGCAGAAATGCAAACTGTTCAGAAACGTCTTACTTTTATAAAAACATACTAAAATTTTCACTTTTATTTTACATGGCTGCAGCGTCTTCTTCAACAAAAATATTGTATTTAATATCTGTAGTAATAATCTATATTTTAAACAAATATTGGATGCACAAGTCATGCTCTGTTGAAGTGATCCAATATTAAATATATAAAATTTATCTTAAACTTTATTACCACAAATGGGAAACAAAGTAGAATTTAAATCAGGTTCACAGTTTGAACTGAGTCCCCAGGAAAAATACAGTAGCAGATCCTTCATTTAAAAACACAAAAAATCTAATCCTCCATGCAAAGTTGTAGTCTGCTCTTACTTAAGTACTATGATTCTAATATTGCCGTGCCATTAAACTGAAAAGTTAATTTCCTGGGATCTGTTCAACTTGTGCAACATCTTCCTTGCAAGAATAATGTGACCATGTTGGGAAATTTGCCAGGTGTATAATCAAGTGGGTAGCATGTATGTCCAAAAGGCCCCAGAAAAAGTAGGAAAAAGGATACAGTGGCCCCGATGGACACTGCAAGTATAATGTTATTAAAACTTTTAAAATCTTGGGAAGGCTGGGTGCATAAATTGTCACCTGAATGTGACCCTGGCAGGATTATAGTGCTCATATTTTTACACATGAATTACTCTGGAATGATTTCTCCAAAGCAGATAAGCACAAAATATACTTTTTCAATTTCAGCAATGTAGGTCTTTTTTTCTTACCTACTATGGGTGAAATCCTGTCCCCACTGAAGTCAATACCAAAATGCCAACTGACTCTAGTGGGACCAGGATTTAACTGTGTATTTTTGCCTACCAACCATAATGCAAGTTTTATGGAGGATGTCATAAGGACTCTACATTAATGCTTGAATTCTCTGTTACATTTATCATGACTATAATGGGGTAGAAGATTCCTATATGGATTTGAGGATTCTTTTTCAAGACACCAGTCTCAATTAGAGGCACTCAAATTAATTTGTTGTATAACTTCATTAAAGAAAATGGAAATACAGTGGAGATGAATGTGACTTTTCTCCAACAATGGTCACATTCCGGAGCGGTTGAGATCAATGTTCTACCGCTGGCATGTGCTGTTCCAGAGTCTGCTCCATCTCCCAGCACAGGCTATATATCCCATTTCCTTAATGTATACAAGGACTCCAGCAGCACGCTTTTCCTGCATCAGACATAGCATCATGATAGATTATGTTGGAGGCAGAATACTATGAAGAGTGAAATCCTCCTCTTACTCAGAAGAGCAGAATCAATGGAACTACTTATGTGAGGTTGTCATGGGGTGGATGTAACTCCATGCTAGGCCTGCAACCAAAGGGTGAATACAAGCACTGCTAACCACTGCTGATTGGCAGTCTCACAGCAGCTGGGAGGATAAAAATGCTTGGAAGCAGAAAGGTGGGGTGGCTGCCAGAGGAGTGAGCAGGCTAGAGAAAGGAGCTTCTGGCAGCAAGCTACTAAACAGCTGCCCAAAGACAACAGCACAGGAGGGGATGAACTGACCAACAGGTGAGAGAGCCTGCAGAGATCCAGGGGAAGATAGGAAGGCGCTCAGGGCACTATCTGTTGAAGAGTCCTGATCCTGTTTATCTAGCTTGAGGCCTCTGAGCTGGAACCCCATGGAATGGGTGGTCCTGGGTACCCCTACTGACAAACTTGTGAGTGAAGAAAGGGTTTTCAGACTCCTGGGTATCAGGACTGCTAGGCTGTAAGCCCCAGGGCTGTGCCATACTTGACCAGAAGGGGTGCTGTTGCATGGATCTACCACCTCACAGGTGAACTGAATCTAGCCTATAAAAGGGAATAATTTGAGGGTTATTATTATTTTTTTTTTAGTTGTTTTAGAAGATTACATGCTCCCATTGGAAATTTACATCCAGCAACACTCTGGGCACTGCCTATAACTGTGTGTGGGTAGAATTCCATAGAGTCAGTAGTGCCCCCATCTTACTAAAAAGAGAGGAATAAAGAGATGGGGGGTATATAAAGAAGACTATAATAAAATCTTATTTGAAACATTCTACGCAGCCATTAAACATTTCTCACCATAGAATGAATGTGAACTTTCAAATAGTTTAATCTCAGGATTATTATAAAAACAACAACTAACTTCTTAGTGGGTTTTTTTTAACAGAATCAATACATAATAAAAGTGAAAGAGGATCAGGCAGCTGGTGTGCATCTCCTCCCACAATGAGTTTGCTATTGCACCTAATCATATATATATATTTTTTTACTCCAGACACTTGTCTAGCTTCATTTTGGAATGTTTTTTTTTCAATAAAGTTTCATGATACTTAATGGGCAGCTGATTCTCTTGCTAATGTTTTCAAGGTTATGCTAATATTCTGTTAATTAGCACCTATTATATTTTGTCATTAAAATATTTTCATATGGCAGATTAAAAACCATGTATGAATACTTTCATCTAGTCGATATAGACAGATTGAATCAAACCATCATGCATGTGGATCTTTCATCACTTTTGAATTATAATGCAAATAGTGACCACAGACTAAAGATATAAAACTTAAATTTAAGGTTTTAAAGATATATTTTTTTTCCAGAAATTTATATATGTTTTTGCCCTATCTACATACTACTAGTGTTTTTTACTATAGTTTGAGACTTTTATTTTGTATGGATTTAGGAAGAGTCAAAGGAGTGCTCTAACCACATAACTTACAACTGTAAGTGGTGTAACTATGTGCATCAAGTATGACTGTTCTGTGGCCTACACTCTGTTATACTGACTAAAACGGGTGGAAAATAAGATATGTAAAGCTTTGAGGCACCACAGCCTCAGACTAAAGGAATGAAGGGAACAGGTGAAACAAACACATCAGACCAAGCAGAGACTATTAGGACAAAAAAGGAAATGGAGATAAAAGAAAGTAAGTGAAGGGAGCTGTTCCTCCTAATCTTTTCCCCCTCCCTACCTGTTTCCATTTCCTCTCCCTCTCTCCTCCTCTAAAATGAGATATAGTAAAGTGAGTACAAAAGAGCTATTTTTAAAGTGCAGTCCTATCCTGAAAAGTAGGTCTGTAACAAGTATGGGTGGAGATTTCTATGTTTATTACCTTTCAGTGGTGTCCCACTCAAGTTTGCTGTTTAGATAAAAAATAAATAGGGGATGTGTACATTTTAGAGCGGGAGTAGGCAACCTATGGCCAAAGGCGGCACGAGAACTGATTTTCAAGGGCATTCACACTGGCCGGGTCCTGGCCACTGGTCCGGAATGCTCTGCATTTTAATGTAGTTTTAAATTAAACTTCTTAAACATTTTAAAAACCTTACTTACTTTACATCCAACAATAGTTTAGTTATATTATAGACTTTTAGAAAGAGACCTTCTAAAACAGTTTAAAATGTATGACTGGCACGCAAAACCTTAGAGTAATAAATGAAGACACGGCACACCACTTCTGAAAGGTTGCCGACCCGTTTTAGATTTTTGTCATATCTCACTTTGAGAATCCACCTGGGCTCTTTCCTCCTTATGCACGATCACCAGTAATAGTCCACTGATCAAATTATGCTCTCCATACCACCTGTGCAAAGCCAGTAGCCTTTAAGACAGGGGCCACTGGATAATAATTTAAGAAAATACAGAGCCCGAGACATTATTTGGCATAGAATGGAAGGCATTAGGTTTGCAGAGGTATTACCAAGAGCAGAAGTGGGCCTGAAGCATTATTACGGGGTAATGACAAAGGACATGAGCGGCACAGAGCAACCCTAAGATCCCAGGGAGAAGGTTTGAGGCGGGCAGGGATTCCAAGCCACCTTTGCCCTGCGGGGAGTTGCTGCTGCGAGGCAGGGAATAGGGGAGCAGAGGCGGCTGCTCTCTCTGAGCGCTACGCCCTTCTCAGGGCAGGCCCCGGGGTCCATCTGTTTCCAAACAAGGCTGAGGTGTGAAGGGGGCGTCCCGGTGTCTTCTGCCCCACCTGCGTGTGTCCACTTGAGCCGTCCACGCGCCGGGGGCCAGGCTGCGGCCGCGCGCGCCGCGTCACACCGCGCCGGGGGCTCCCCACACAGCCCCCGCTGCACAGTGCCCCCGCCCAGCTGTCCCCGCGCGGGCAGCACGCGCCCCCCCCCGGCTCGCGCTTCCCGCCTTTTCCGTCTCCCTCTGGCTCGCGCTCAGGGGTGGCGGCCCCTGTGCCTTTGAGCCCCGGGTTCTCATGCTGCGGGGCCCGGGGAAATGGAAAAAGAAAAGCCCTTTACACTGTTCGTGCCACCCAGGCTGAGCGGCGGCCAAGTGTCTGCCGTGAAGCCGCAGGCGAGCGCCCGGGACGATGGATCCCGTCAGGTAAAGACGGTACGAACCAAACGGCCGCTGCTTGGCCGCGGTCTGCCCGGGCGCGGAGAACACGCAGGCCTGGCCCCAGGCCCCCCGCTGCGGGCAGGGAGCGCGTCTGGCGGGGACACGGCGGCGGGTGGCGGGTGGCTGTATCCCCCGGGGCA